CCGCCCCCCGCGCCGCGTCCTCGCGCTCGCGGTCGTCGTCGCCGAACGCGGACCACGGGTCGGACATGTCCGGCGCGTCGACGCCGCCGTCGAGCGCCGTCGACCGTCGTCGACGTCGAGCGCGTCGCGGTGGTCGGACGTCGCGTGTCGAGTCCGTCGCGTGGTGACTCATGGCTCAAGACTCATGACTCAAGGTGGCGGCACGCGTCGCCGCGCGTCGCCGCGTGGGCGCGGCGCGCGCGATGCATCGCCGACGACGCGTCGACGACGGCGGTGACGTCGAAGCCGCGGTCGAGCGCCGCGCGTCGAGCGCGCAGGCGTCTCCGGCGGCGGCACCTTTTCGGCCGAGCAAAACGGTGATTACTTTCGCGATGACGACGGCGTTGGTGACGTTCGCGTGCGTGAAGAATGACGTGTACGCGAAGATGCGGCATCCAGAATTTTACAAGACGGTCGATGCCGCTCGCGGCACCGCGCGTTGGGTCATCGAGGAACGCGTGAGCGCGTGGAACGGCGTCGGCGCGCACGCGGCGGAGTTTCCCGACGAGTTTGGTTTGAGGCGGGTGCGAAGTATGTGCGACGACATCGCGCGAGGCTCGCTCGGCGCCGCGTATTGGCCTTTGAACGTGAACTCGTCTGGATTTTCGGATTCGCGCGCGCTTTGCGAAGCGCTCGACGATTTACCGGGCGCGTTACGGTTGCACACGTTGAAAACGCCGAGCGTCATGCGGCTCAAGTACGCCTTCGCAGCGAAAATACCGACGTTTAATCGCGGTTACGGCGTCGAGACTTACCTATCTCGAGAGATTGCTCGAGGTCCATTCGCGGCGCGGTCGTACAAGGACGCGACGGCGCTCTTCATCCCTGTCAGACCGTACCTACAGCGACTGCTCACGGTTGAAGCGTACGTCATGAGGGACCCGATTAAAGGGACGAACAACAACGCCGCGGTTCGTCAAGCGATTCGAGATAGACTATCTCGCGACATTGAGCGCGTGAAAGCGATGAACACCCAGGCGTGGACGTCCAAACACAAGTGCGCGCGCGTCGTCATTACAAATATAGACATTGGACTCTCGGCGTTTGATTCGTCCGATGATGAAGTCCGACACGGTGCCGTCGTGCTAACTGGCAACTCCGAATTGCCGATACAAAATCCAGAAGACGCCAAAGACGACCAGGCGAAACTGAGAAGAGCGAACGCCGTGCAAGCTGGTTTTGATCCAGATCGTGACGTCGCGATTTGGTTCGGGATGTCGAGTCATCTACCTCGCGAAGTCGTGCGCATGGGCGCGCTCAAATCGACGAACGTAAGAACCATTGAAGTTTCATTTCGAGGATCCATGTATCGGGGAGGCGTGCGACGAGTCGTGTTTCCAACTTTAAAGCAAGCCGGGGCGGGAAGGGGGTGGGACTTGAGTACGAGCGGACAAGACAAGCCGCGAGACTACATGATGTTGCTGTCCAAAAGTAGGTATTGCCTGTACGTGTACGGCGATCGCGCGCACACCGCACGGTTGTACGATATTATCACATTTGGTTGCGTGCCCGTGATTGTTGCGGACGGCTATGATCTACCATTCAGTTGGCTCTTCGATTGGTCGAAATTCAGCGTGAGAGTGCCCGAAGACGACGTAGCGAAGTTGCCAGGAATCCTCGACCAGGCCGATTACGATTCTTTGCGCGGAGAGCTCGTGAAGGTTCATTCATTTTTTCAATACCACGCGCGTGGAAGTGTTTTTGGCGACGCGTTCTGGATTACCATGTTAGGCGTGCGGCGGCAGCTCGCGAAGTGCGCGACAAGCGCGTAGACGACCCGTAGAGGCTCGCGAAGTGCGCGACGAGGACGTAGTCACCCCGCAGAGGCACACGAAGTGTACGACGAGCGCGTAGACACCCTGTAGAGGCACGTTTCGTTTCAACCGCTCTCTGTCCGCGCGCGCCGTCGCGTCCGCCGCGGTGGTCGGGCGTTGGCCCCATCGACGAGTCACGACTCAGAGAGAGTCTCACACCTCCGTGCGATCGCGCGATCGCGTGACATCGCGCCCGCGCGCTCGCCCCGCGCGCGATGGCGGACCCCGGGACGTGCGTCGAGCGCGTCACCGCGGCGTCGATGACCTCCGCGGCGTTCGGTGCGGTGGTCGGGTGCGCGCGCGCGGCGTGGGGGGCGGATGCGCCCGCGGTGGTGCGCGCGCGCGCGCTCCCGGCGGTGACGAAGACGGTGACCGCGCTCGCGGCGAGCGCGGCGCTGTTCGGTGCGATCGGTGGGACGTACGCGGGCGTGACGTGCGCGTCGGAGGAGGCGAGACAGTCGAGAGACGCGTGGAACGGGGCGCTGGGGGGGGCGATGAGCGGCGTCGTGGTAGGTTTGCGAAACGGCTCGCTCGCGCACGCGGCGAGCGCGGGCGCGGCGTTCGCCCTCGCCTCCGTCGCCGTCGACGCGAGCGGTCGGAAGATTTCTTTCGGTGATGAGTGGGAGGACGGGGCGACGCCGAAACGGATCTCGATACCGTACCGATAGCCGCGCGCGCGAACGCGCTTGTAAGACCAACCACCGGACGTACCATGAAATCACGAGTCATGACTCAAGGACGAGTCTCACAACGTGCGTCGTCGTTCAAACCGCGCGCGGGCTGTCGCATCGTTCGACGCGCGCGCGTTCGTTCGCGCGCGCGCGAACGCGGGCGCGACGGCGCGCGTGGATGGGGATCAGTGCCCTCTTACCCGCGCTCAAGTCCATCGAGCGCGCCGCGCACGTGGGTGACGCGTACGGGGGCGCAAAGGTGTGCGTCGATGCCTACGTGTGGCTCCATCGCGGCGCCTACGCGTGCTCCAGGGAGCTGTGTGAGGGCGTGAAGACGACGAAACACGTCGAGTACTTCGTGAACAGGGCTCGTGGGTTGAGGCGAAGCGGCGTGGAGGCGGTGTTCGTGTTCGACGGCGGGCGATTGCCGGGAAAGGCGGCGGAGGAGGCGCAGCGGAGACGAAACAGACGCGAGGCGTTGGATAAGGCGAAGACGCACGCGAGGAACGGGAACGCGAGCGCGGCGAACGAGTGTTACGTTCGAGCGGTAGATGTGACGCCGGAGATGGCGAGGGAGGTGATTGAGGCGCTGGAAAGGGAGGGTTTCGAGTGTTTGACGGCGCCGTACGAGGCGGACGCGCAAATGGCGTATCTGGTGAAGCATGGATTCGTCTCGGCGGTGATCACGGAGGATAGCGATCTCATAGCGCACGGGTGCAAGAGCGTGTTCACGAAGATGAGTCCGGATGGTTCGGGGATCGAGATCCGGTTCGAGGAGTTGGGGAAGAACCGCGGGATGAGTTTCGTCGGTTTCACGCCGCAAATGTTTCTGGAGATGTGCGTGTTGAGCGGATGTGATTACCTCCCTTCGCTCGCGGGCGTCGGGCTGAAGAAGGCGCACAGTTTAATCCGACGGTTCAAGACGTATAACAAGGTCCTCCGTCACATGAAGTTTGAGGGGATATCGGTGCCGAAGGACTACGAGGCGCGCTTTGTGGACGCCTTGATGACCTTCAAATATTCGTGGGTGTACTGTCCAAAGAGACAGAAGTTGGTGAATCTGAACGATCCGGCGGGCGTTTTAGACGAGAAGACGATCGCGGACTTGCCACGACTCATCGGGGGTGTGCCACCCGCCAGAGATCGCGAGAGCGGTGGCGACTAGCCAAGTGCACCCGATGACGTTTGAGGCGTTCGCGAGAGCGACTTCTGGTAAGTGTCCGGGACGAGTCTTTATGCAAGTTCTGCCGGTAACGAGCGCGCCCGCGTTGGATCCAGATCAAATTTGCGACGAGTTTAAGCGTCGGGAAGCACCGGCGGGAACGTCCGAGCCGTCGAAGGAAAGTGCCGCGTTCGCGAGCTTCCTCCGCGAAAAACCGGAGGATGACGCGTACAGTTACAAGGCTGCACTCGTGCACACCGAGACTTCAAAAGCGGCGACAAAAACCATGAACCGATCGTTCTACGCCGCTCTGGATGAGCACGAGAACACGGCGCCGAGCGATAATACCAGGCGACGCCGGAATAGTTTAGACTCGCGCCAAGTCGCAAACGAAGTGCCGACGGTTGTTCCCGATTCGGTCGAGAGACCGACGCCAATGCAGCGTTCTCGACTGCCCAAAGACATCTCCAACGTCGGCGGTCGAATCGTCGCCGAGACGCCAATGGCGCCATCGTCGGTTAAGAGGAGTCCGTATTTCGCGAACGCTCCGTCGACGTCAAAGGCAGTCACGCCCTCGGTTCGGTCCTACGCCGCAATCGCCAAGGACTCCATAGATCGCGTGAAGCGGAGTACCGAGAGTGAGTTCGGTGCGCCTCCGCCGCTGAATAAGCGAACGGAGCGCACGCCTACGAGAACGACGCCGATGCGCGCGGCTAAACAGTCGCGAACGACCACCTCCGCTTCACGACGAAACGGCAAACAGCGCGAGAGCGGTGACAGAAAGTTTTGGCAGATGTCACTCTTCGATACCTTTACGTTCGACGGTAAGTAATATTCGACTCGCGCGGGCAAGGCGCGATGTAACAGATTGTTTCGTTGTTTCTATGAATTACATCCGGCTCCTCTGTGAGGAAAACCAAGCCATCATCGCCTCCTGGCGAACGGGTTAGGAATCCTCCCCGTCCGCGTATCCCTGAGCATCTCCCCCGATCTCGCGTGCTTATCCATCAATCGCGCGCGCAAAAAGTCCACCGCCGCCGTCGGAGGCTCCGCCGTCTCGTCTCCGCGCGCGCCCTCCAACGCGACCACCTCGAATCCATCCCGCTCGTACGTCCGCCGCTTCGCCTCCCGTCGCTCCCTCTTACTCCTCTTCACCCGTTTCTTCCCTCCGACGTGCGCCTCGTACGCGTCGAACGCCCGTCTTTTCTCGCCGCCGCGCCGTCCGTCCCCGAGCGCGCCCGCGACGACGTCCTCCGGAAGCGCCTCGAGATCGTCTTCGTCCGCCCTCGCGTCGTCCGCCGACGCCGTCCACGCCGTCGTCGTCGCCGTTTCCGTCCCATCGTCCCCTCGCGCGCGCGCGTTCGAACGCGCCGCCGGTCGTCGCGTCTTCGCCGCCGCCGCCGCCGCTCGCACCGCCGCGCGCGCGTTCGCCCGCGCCCGCGTCGCCTCCGCGCGTCCGCGCGCCCCGCTCACTTCCTCGGGCGCGTCCGAGTCCGAGCGTTCGTCCTCGCCCGCGAGCGCCGCGCGCGTCGAGCGCGGCGCTCGCG